TTTTTTTTTAATTGTTGAACTTGAGGGTTGGTGGTGGTTGTTGTATTGTAAGGTTTAGTCCTAGAGTTTTTCTTTGGTGAATTTGGAGAAATAATAATAACACCCAAGAGCCTAGCTCAGTGGGTACACCCATGAACTGTTGAAATACAGACCTGTGCTCGAATCCAGATGATGGAACGTGACGAGTAAAACCAACTACTAATGAATTGCTTCGGGCCAGTCAGCTCAATGATAATATCTCAAGGCCGTCGCCCTTTTAAAAAAGAAAAAAAAATAAATAATAATAATAACAGTGATAAAAAGGGATAATTTGCAAAAAAAAAACAGAAGTTGAGATATATGCCAAAATGCCCCTAAAAGATGTTGGTAGAGCGGAATGCCCCTCTGACAAAGAAAATATTTTTTGAAATACCCTTGGCGTTGGTTGGACCCCCATCTTTGCAATATACCCCTACCAGGTGCCATCGAACTTTGCCAAATGCCCAGTACTTGCCAACTTCTCCTAGGCGCTATTGCAAAAGCCCAATGCCCAAACAGGGAGGTCCAGATTGCAAAGTTGCACACCCGCCTGACAGGGGCACAACACAACGATTTCAGCCCATAAGGGCATTCCGCTCTACCCACATGTCTCAGGGGCATTCTGGCATATATCTCAACTTGTGGGGGTATTTTGCAAATTATCCCTAATAATAATAAAGTAAATGTAATGAACCCAACAACAACAACGGCGACAACAACGAGATGAGTGAGAAGGGAGAGAAGGATGACAACAACAACAACTTGAACAACAACAACAATGACAACGAGCAGGGATTGGACGAAATGGGCGAGAAGGGCGAGAAGGGCGAGAAGGATGACAACAACAACAACAACAACAATGACGGCGGGCAGGAATTGGGCGAAATGGGTGAGAAGGACGCGAAGGATGATGGCAACAACAACAACAACAACAACAACAAAAACAAAAACAAAAACAAAAACAACAACAACAAAAACAACAACAACAAAAACAAAAACAACATCAACAACAACAGCGATGTGTTTCGAGTATGGTTTCCATAGCTATCACCTTATAAGTGGTGGTCTATCAACTCCTGTGGTAGGGATATGGGTACATCGTATCTTTCATAGCCAGTGGATTCCAGCGAAGAGAGCCCTAAGTAACACCTTTTTTTTTTTTTTTTTTTACAAAACATCCTCACCGATGTTAGTGGTGCTGATAAGAGCAGACACCACTAGCACATGGGAAGAGGCTCCATCTATTGGTGGGGAGCTTCACCTGCTGGAAAGCGGGTCCAGCGTCCCTTTTTACAGAATTGAGATTTAACGACATTACACTCCTTCCAGCATTGACTGTCATGGAAACCCAGGGGATTAACTGCGCAGGGAGGGGGAGAACCTCTTCACCCAGAAACAGGGGCTAGATTAGTAACACCCAAGTGTGGGAGAGCGAACATCTACTGTGGCGGAAGGAAAGTCAATCAAGTAACACATTGAACTGTGGAGGAGAGCATTGGAGAGGCAACTTTAGGCACAAGAAGTCAATGTACTTTTCTACAGGGACTGGAAAATTTGTCAATCTGCTCTAGAACAAGGAGGTCTAGGATAAGTGTGGGAGAGTGAACATCTACTCTAGCGGAAGGAAAGTCTAATCAAAGGTTGTGGGGGAGATCGTTGACTCTTAGCACAAGAAGTCGACGTGAATTATTAGGAGCGTCAACCTTATGCACAAGAAGTTGAAGTCGATGTGCTTTTCTACACAGATTGAAAAATTTGCAGAGCTACTCTACAGCGAGGAAGTCTAGCGCAAGGGAACTCTATATTTTTTTTTAGCACAAGGGGACTCTAGGTTTTTTCACGGTAGACCTAAAGGTGTGCTTACACATATTTATTAGGCAGGTCATCAGTCACCTGTTCGTCACGACACCTCAACGAAGAGAGAAGTTGGTCGTCACTTAGTTGGCCTCAACGAAATGAGTAGGGCAGAGAATTAGGTTGTGTAGCTGGTTGTCACATTGACCAGTCGGCCTCAAGAAAGGGAGTGTCACACCACAACAAAGCGAATAGCTGGTCGTCACATCGTTTAGTTGGCCTCAGCAAAACGAGTAAAGCAAAGATTTCGGTTGCGTAGCTGGTTATCACATCGATCAGTCGGCCTAAAAAAAGTGAGTGTCACAACAATTTAGGTTGAGTTAATTGGGGAGGGGAAGCTGATCAGTCGGTTGGCGGCACAACATGTCAAGGAAATGAATACCACGACGGACATAAGGGATAAGGGAAAGGGTAAGAAGGTGATGGGAAATACTGGGAGGGAGTCTTAACAACTGTGGGAGAAAGTTGGAAGTGAGGTGGTCAATAGTGGGTGACAAAACGGAAACAAGAAGAAACAACAAGAGGGTATCACAAAGGTCAGAAGGGATAGGGGGAAGGGTTGGAAGGTGATGAAGAGTAAGGGGAGGGAGCCTTAACATCTGGGGGAGGAGGTTGGACGTAAGGTTAACGGTGGGTCAACAGTGGGTGACAAACCACATACAAGGAGTAGCAACAACTGGGTGAGAACAGGCAACACACTTCAAGTAAGCCTCCTCTCCTCATTATTTCCTGACTATCCTTGGACCCTGCACTTTATCCCTGGGAAGTGGTATCCCCTACCGAACTGTGGGACATGAGGAGAAAAGAATGAACAGAAAGAATAAGGCAAAATAAGTGTAGAAAAGAGATAGAAGTGATAAAGGTTATAATATTCAAAATATTCAAAATATATTCAAGATATAAGAATTACGGAAGGGGGAGAAGAAAAGATGAGTAAGAAGAATAATTTAGGGGGAACAAAATCAGAACGAAGCTTACCTCAAATACTCATAATTCCCCTCTTCATAGTTCAGAGTTAATTAATTGGGACACAACACTACGAAGGGTACTTTAAAAGCATCATTCTCTTCCTTTTCACAGTCTTCTCTACTGATTCTCCTTCCTCTGTTGAAAGGTTAAAAGAAAATGAAGCTCAATTGCAGACGGGCCAAAGGGCCTGAGCCACTTCTTTTCTACCAGGGAGCGATGCGTCACACTTTGTTCAGACAGCTATTCCCTGCTCCATATGAGAGACCTATATATTCATACGCAAGCAGGGTGAACAACAGTATTCCAATGGTATGGAAGGGGGACAAAGGAAATGGAACGAGGCTGGCAACGCATAATATAGTAAGAAGAGTCGAAAATTGATCTCAATCTGAAGGAAGGATGGTTGCACGAGTTGGACAAATGCAACAACAGACCGACCTACAAACGCATCTGGTTCCCTCAAAGGAACAAGAACCTGAATCAATGAAAATGATAATGGTGGAAGAAGGAGAAGGGAATGAAAAGGAAAAAAAGGAGGAAATGGAAGAAATGTTAACTAAGGAGGAAAAAGATAATGAAAAAAAAAGCAGAAAAGAAGGATATATAAATGATAGAATCAACTGCTACAAAGCAAGCAACTCAGGCAACGCAAAGAAGGCAGTCTGCAACCACAGGTAACCCCGATGATAACAAGGATTCTCAATCATCATTGGCTTAAAGGATAAGGGACACCTTTTAGAATAAGACCCTGAACATCACGAGACCGTCCATTGGGCCCCCGGG